CTGTATTGCAATAGGCGCCTTGGCAAGGGCCCCTGTAAACGTTTGTCGCTACTGGCATTTTACGAACTTGTTGGTTAATGTTTCTCCTAACGCCGGGAGACCTCCAAAAGAAAGGGGAGGGACAGGCTGCGTCCACTTGCGGGACGCGAGTCACGTGCTCGGGCTCCCTGCGCCGCCGGCGTCCTGGCCGGCCGGGTTGCTAGGGCAACGGGTAAACGCGGCTGCTCGGAGCCGTTTGAGGAGCGCTGGAGCCGGACGGTGGCCCTCGCGCGTCCCCAGAAGCCCAGGAGGAGCGGATCCGGGTAAGGGGGGGCGCGGACGACGACTGAGGCTGAAGCCGAGAGTGGAGAGTGACAGGGGAGCCCTGAGGGCAGTAATGACCGATAGTGCAAAAAACTCCTGGAGGGGGTTCTTGGGATAGCTCTGTCCCATGGTGGATGCCAGCATTAGCGCTCCTCGTGCCTCTGCAATGAGTCCTCGCTGCCCTGGATACTCTGCAAGTCACAGGCCCCTGCAGCCTCTGAACACCTTTGCCCCCTGCACCCCGCCCCCATCTGGCCCTGCTACAGGCTGTGTCCTGGCGTGGGCTGGAGACCTCTGGGCTTTATCTAGCTGAATGGATGGAAATGCAGCCCTCATGGGAGCGGCCAGCTAAGAGGAAAGCTTTCCGCCAAGAAGAAGAGAAGAAAACTAATAGTACTGTGCACCTACTAAGTATGCAAGTACTTTAAATGCTTTTCATTTATTCCTCTACCTGGGAGCTGCATAAACCTGCTCATGGTAGGTATCTCGACAAGGTCACCAGGCGCTAGTTCTCCTTCTGCAAGTTCAAGTTTTCCACATTCTCTTGAACTACAGAAGTGCATCTTCTCCCAGCTTTCAGATCCCCTGTTTTCTCCTCTCACATCCTTTGTTTCAAATTCTTTTCTTTGTTTTTCAAGTCAAGAGAGAGAGGAGTAGGAGGGGAGAGAGCTCTAGAGAGAGCCCTGGTAGAGAGTTGGTGTCACAGTCAGGCAGGCAGCAGGTGACAAAGTGAGTTGGGCCCCTTCTCTGCAACCAGACCTTGGGGATAGGGCTGAATAAGAAGTCCACCCTCTCGAGGAGACAGCAGTGGGGTGGAGACGGTATTGTCACTCTCCAGTTCTGGGACCTCTCCCACTGTCCCTTCCTCATTCTCCACGCTTCCGGTGTGGGGGTCAGCCATGCTTGGCGCTGCCCTGGATGGCAGGGGACAGGAGAGAGGAGATTCCTAGGAAGGTCTGCCTCTTTTGAAGGTAGAATGACCCCCTGAGGACCCCAGACTTCCGGAAGGTGCACAAGGACCTGAGAAACAGGGACAGATGCCCTCCCCCTGCATTCCTCTGCCCTGCCAGGTGCCATGCAGGGCCCGCCAGTCCGGGGCTGCCCCCAGGGATAAAGGAGAAGTGTCCTCATCTCTTTTTTCCACCCTCTAGCGGAGCCTCCAGGCCGCCTCCCTCCAAACTCCCACGCTGACACTCCTCCTTCCCGCGGCTCCCTTGGCCTCCCTCCCGGCTTGGAAAACACACTTTCTCTTTAGCCAGGGGAAGTTCTCTCCAGGAATTACTTTGCTCATTCTCACTGCACAAGACGAGTTTTGTTTTTATAGTCAGTGAAGGTTCCGATCCGACTCCCTCCCCGGGGATGTGGGAGATGCTTGCGTTTTTGATGTTCAGGCCAGAGCGTCCCTGGCTCTTTGCGTTCCTGTGTTTAGTCCCATACGCCTCTGAGGCTCTAGGTTCCCACGGGTGGGGAGCAATCTCCCCCCAGAACTCCCAGAGGGCAGTGACACTCCTCCTGTCCCCCCTCCACACCCCCTTGCAGACAGCTCGGCTCAGCCCCTGCTTGGGGAAGCCCACCGGGTAGTACTTGTCTCACAGAAGGTGGAGGGGACCTCCTGAGACCCCCTCCGCCGACCTCACTATTCATCCTCGTCCCCCGCCAGCTTCTGAGAAAGAGCTTGCTCTGGGCCCTTGAATGAGCTGTCTTCCCATCACCCAGCCAGCCTGTAAATGTCCCCTCTGTCTGCCTCCAGACACAAGACAATGCCTCTGTTCTCGCTCTGGGCTTGGCCTTGGGAAGCCCAAGAAGGAAAGCAAAGCTGTTAAAAATGCGATCTGGGCTAAAGAGGCTATTTCTGTCCTCCTGGAGTTTCCTCATTCTCTTAGGCCTCCTTGTGTCCCCTAGGAGCTGGCTGGCTTGTAGCAATTCTTTTAAAAGAGGGAGAGAGACAGGCAGCCCCTAACTGCCCGAGTCCAGCAGCCCCATGTGGAAGGCACAGGTGCCCTGCAGGGTGTTGGCAGAGAGGAAGATTTCACTGAATTTGCATGTTTTTCACAAGGCCCTATCTCTGTCTCTGTAGAATTAGGGCACCCTGCTGCGATTGGGTCTCTCTCTCTCCTCCCTCTGCCCTCTCAGCCATTGTTTTCACCCAGGAAAGTGTTTCCAAACCACATACACAAAAAAGAGGCATGTGTACGGTGTGAGGTAGGGGTCTATGGTCATTCTTTTGCATGTGAATAACGAGTTATCCCAGCACCATTTGCAGAAAAGACCATTCCTTTTTTCCATTGCACCTCGATACCTTTGTCAAGAGTCAACCATAGTATAAAGGTTTATTTCTGAACTCTCAGTTCTTCTACTAAAAATAGAAAAAGAAATGAACCCTCAGTTCCATTCTATCGATCTACATGTCTATGGTTATGCCAGCACCACACTGTCTTGATTATACATAGTGGGCTTAATAAATGTTTGTTGAATGAGTAAGTGGAATAATGGGAACTATGCTTAGAACAAAGACAAAGTATGTAGTTTGGCATTCACAAAATCTGTGCATTCCTAGAAAATTCTATGTAATTAGATTTCTTTTAAAAGGGGTAATTCATTTTGGGGTGCCTCAGAGTAGTGGTCCCCAACCTTTTTGGTGCCAGGGGCCAGTTTCATGGAAGACAATTTTTCCACGGACTGGGGATGGGGGAATGTCATGGGTGGGGGTGCTGCGAGCTCAGGTGGTGATGGCAGACTGTTTCCTGACAGGCCAGGGACCGGTCAGGAATGGGCAGCGGCCTGGGGGTTGGGAACTGCAGCCTTAGAGGACATTCTTGGGCAAAAATTCAAGGACACACTTGCTTGGTAAAGCGAATTACTGCTCAAGCATTTCTGTTGAATGGCATTTTTTTTCATCCGTTTCCTGTTCAGATAGTTGTCTTGTGTTTGTTTAAAGCAGGGGTAACTCCCTGCAATCTTTTCCCACCAGGCCCCATTTCACTCGGAGATAGCGACGCTTGCTCACAGGCAAAACCTCCTCTCTCGGGTGTTGAAAGGCTCAGTTGTAAACCCACCACCAGCCCCTGCCATTTGTTCCCCATGCCACCACTGCCACCACCCATCGGACAGCTTTGTCCCAGGGCTCTTGCGCAGCCCTGGAGCCTTGTACAGACCCACATCTCAGCCCTTGGGAACTTGCCATCCAAGGCACAATTTCTGAGAGCGAGGGCGGCCAGCAGATGGACGGCTCTGCTCTCTCTGTAGTGTAATGCCGCAGACAGGCCCTGTCACATGGCCAGCCATCTAAGTCACTGAGCAGACCCTCAGACCGGGAAGTCTAGTGATGTCACGGGAGCAGGGAGGCAGGTCTCTTTTGGAGTGGAAGGGCAATTTGTGGGAACTGCTTATTGGGTTTTAAGACTTGCAGTCAGGGGCCAGGCGCGGTGACTCACACCTGTAATCCTAGCACTCTGGAAGGCAGGCGGATTGCTCGAGGTCAGGAGTTTGAAACCAGCCTGAGCAAAAGCGAGACCCCGTCTCTACTATAAATAGAAAGAAATTAATTGGCCAACTAAAAATATATAGAAAAAATGAGCCGGGCATGGTGGCACATGCCTTAGTCCAGCTACTCGGGAGGCTGAGGCAGGAGGATCGCTTGAGCCCAGGAGATGAGGCTGCTGTGAGCTAGGCCGATGCCATGCACTCTGCCAGGCAACAAAGTGAGACTCTGTCTCCAAAAAAAAAAAAAAAAGACTTGCAGTCAGATCTGGGAAAGCCCTTCCCTGCGCTGCGTCTGGACGCTGGCCCTGCGCTGCGGGCGCACTTTCACTTCACTTCTCAGCGTCCTGTGGGCGTGGCAGGTCTTGGGAAGACTGAGTGGCCCGCCCAAGGTCACGCAGCTGGTGTGGGCAGGGCCAGCACTCGACGTCAGGGTCCAGCCCGGCCCTCTTCCCAGTTCCCCTCCGAGCCTTCCGTGACCAGCACCACATGTCACAGGGTTTCCCCCAGGCCTCGTGTCCCTCCTGTTGAGGAAGCCGGTGGCCTTCTCCCTTTCTCAGGTTGACTCTCAGCTCTGTCCTGGAGTGGCATGAAGGGAGGAGACTCCCAGTGGGGCCCCCAGGAAGTGGGGGTGGGTGCAGTCTGGTGACCTAGAGCCCCGAGAATGGATGAGCCTTTTGGACCACTGGGTGGGGAGTTTCCAGAAGAGGCTCCCCAAATCTGCGTGCTGTGTGGTTCAGGTCTGAGTGTGGCAGAGCATTTAGCCAACGCCGTCACCGTCAGTGTTTCTTCCCGCCTCCCAAAACATGTCGATTCAGTCAGAACAGTGTCATTTGCTGGGGAAGAGCTTTGGAGTCAGGCAGAGCAGCTACAGCACTCATTAGCGATGTGACCCTGGGCCGGCCGCTCAGGGTACCTCTGAGTACCAAACTCCCTCAAAGAAAGTGGGGATTTTATTGCCGACCTCAGAGAGCAACTGCAAGGACCAAGCAAGATAATGCTTAAAATAGAGTCAGCACTCAGATGATTTTGTAAAATGCAGATGCAGCTTCTGGACAAATTCCCTAGGACCCCCGCCCCCTCCGGTGCCCGCCCCCGCCCCAGCCAGATTGAGAGCCTGGAAACCCCCCCTCCCCGGCCCCCGTGAGACCAGTGGAGACAGGGAGGTGGACAGGTAGAACCCCTCACCCCACACCCTCCCTCTGCACCTGCAGCGACCGTCGTCATGGAGATCGTGTACGTGTACATCAAGAAGCGCAGCGAGTTCGGGAAGCAATGCAACTTCTCCGACCGCCAGGCCGAGCTGAACATCGACATCCCACCCAACCCTGAGCTGGCCGAGCAGTTCGTGGAGCGGAACCCGGTGGACACCGGCATCCAGTGCTCCGTCAGCATGTCGGAACACGAGGTGGGTACCAGCCCGGGGGCCCAGGCCACGGAGGGCGTGGTCGGGCAGCGGACTGGGACCAGGTGTCCCTGTGCACCTGAAAGCCAGTTAGAGTGGGCCATGCAGGTGCTGGCGGTGTGAGCAGCACAGAGCCCCCCCACAGACCCCCCACAGTGCTCAGGGTCAGAAGAGGACCCGGCGCCAATTGCACCCTGGGCCGGTGGACGTGAATTGAGATGTTCCCTTTCCCGGGGCTCTTGCTTCGCCTCTGAGCGCTCGGCAGCGTCATCTGGGGCGCTTGGCACGGCCGGGAGAGGTGTTTTGGGGGAGCAGGATTCTTACCCACGGGCAGCTGCCCGGCTGGAGAGAGGGAGGTGTCCCGCAGAAAGTTCCGCCTGTTCGGACCCAAAGAGCTCCTTGTCCGTGTGAACCAGGTGATCTGCCCCTGACTAGGTTGAGAACAGCTGAGAGAAAGTGAGGTGGACTAAGACAGCCAGCCCATTTCATCCTGCCCGGATGGACTGAGTGAAAAAAATCACTGGATTTGGCCGAAACACGTTCAACGACTGGGTGGGTGTGGGTGGTTCCCGCGACTCACAGTCCAACAGTTCGGGTGAGTCCTTGCTCTCCCAGGCCACACTGCTGTCTTGGGGACAAGGACAGCTGTGCCTGGGGTGTGGCCAACAGATGGAGTGGCTGCTGGGGCCACATCACACCCTGTGGGGCTCTCCTGACGGCAGCCCCACCCCGTCCAGGCTTTTAACTTCCGTGGGGGCTGCGTTAAAAATGGAAGGGAGACGGAGCTTCTGGCGTGAAGGGGGCGGGGTTCCCGTGTGGCATGATGTCAGAGTTCGCAGCTAGGGGGTGGCGAGGGCTGCGCACCGCCGTGTGTGATCACGCCACGGGACCGGACACTTTCAGAGGGCTAACTGGTAAGCCAGGCACGGCGGTGCGCACCTGTAGTCCCAGCTACGCGGAGGCTGAGGCAGGAGGATCCTTTGAGCCCAGGAGTTCAAGGCCAACCTGGGCAACACAGTGAGACCTTGTCTCAAAAAACAAAGAGTTAAATGGCGAAGATTTTATTACGTGTATTTACACAATAAAACAAGTGAGAGAGAAATGGAAAGAAGGGCAAAGTGGCCAGATCAACAGTGAGACTGTCCTCCCGGCTACAGAGGACGGCAACAGGCGGCCCACGCTCGGAGTTGCCTGCGCTGCGTGGATCTCTGGGACGCTGCTAATGACAGAGTGGAGGAGGCTCATTCAGCGCCTTTTCCCCTGGGGTTCTCACGGGACAGGTGGGTGGGGCTCCGTCAGGTGCATTAGGGTTCGAGCAGGTCAGAACGGATTTCCCATGACCACTGGCGGGCAGCTGCAAAGCTGGCTAGCTCCACAGGGTGGCGCTGTGTGTCCTACTTGCGACTCCAGAAAGTTCCTTGCTGGAGGCCTGAAAATACTGTGGCTTTGGCCAGGTGCCCATCATTCCACGTCCTGGTCCGCCTGTGAGTGACGCCTTCTCCCTGCGGCTCTCTGTCTAGGCCAACACGGAGCGGTTTGAGACGGAGACCGGGGAGTTAACCACATAGGAGGGGTTTGCCCAAGGACGTGAACCCCCTGGAGCTGGAACAGACGATCCGCTTCCGAAAGAAAGTTGGAGAAGACGAAGAACTACATCAACACCATCATGCAGCTGGGCTCGGTGAGGTTCCTTCTGCTTCAGCCGTGGGACCCTTGCCATCACTCCGGGGTCCTGGGGGTGTCACCCCCAGCCGCCCATGCGGGCTCATGTGGCTACTTGGGGGAGGAGACCAGCTGCCACCTGAAGCAGCCTTGGGTCCGGGAGTGGGCAGAGTCCCAGCAGCAGACTGAAGGGCAAGGCAGGGGGTCCAGGCTGAACAGGCTTTAGGAGGAGTCTGAAAAGCAGGGAACCCCTTGACCAAAGAGGACCCAAAAGAGCCCCACCCAGCAGCCAATAGGGACCATTCATTATTCTTCATTCAGCAATTGGACTGAGCTTCGAGTCCCTTCCAGGCACAGTGGAGGTTGCAAAATGACTCTCACATACATCCTGCCCCAGAGAGTTTACAATCCACTGGAGGCCAAAGACAACGCAGAGACATCACCACATAACAGAGAGAGAAATGCTAGGCTGAGTGCAGTGGCTCACGCCTGTAATCCCAGCACTTTGGGAGGCTGAGGCAGGAGGATCGCTTGAGCCCAGGAGTTCGAGGAGGCAGTGAGCTATGATTGTGCCGACTGCACTCCAGCCTGGGCGACCCTGTCTCAAAAAAAAGAGAGAGAAAGAAAGAAAGAAGTGCTTTAAGAGAAGAGTGACTTGCCATTTTGCCTGATGAGGCGGGAGAGTCAGTCTCCTGATGAAGGGATCAAGGAAGGCTTCCTGGAAGAGGTGGCAGGGCTTGGTTGTCCCATGCTGGATCTTTGCAGTAGTGAGGAGGACAATTTGGGTGGAGGAACCAGGCATCTGCAAGGCTGGAAAGCAGGAGATGGCTGCCTGTATACAGAGTGATTAATAATTTTGTTTGGCTAGAGCTATATTCTTCAACCTGCTTTTTATTATTGTCCCTCATGTTTTTCCTAATCACCTCCTCCTCCCCCGCCATGAAATTTTAACGCCGTAGGTGTACTGTGTATCTGTTCATGTGCTGCATGTATATCTATGCTTTGTACATAAAAAGTGATACTGTTTTACCCCCAAGAACCAATGGAAAATGCCCGCATTGAAAGCACACGGGCTAGAAGGATGGGAAAAGGCCACCAGCTTTGCCTTGTCCCCACGCCCCGGCTGGGCCCGGGCAGTGTGGCCTTTACCGCTGAGAACGTGCGCCGTGCCCTCCCCAGATCATGGAGCACTGCATCAAGCAGAACAACGCCATCGACATCTACCAGGAGTATTTCGACGACGAGGAGGCGGCGGAAGTGATGGACGAGGCCCCTTCGGCTAAAACCATCAACGTTTTCAGGTAGCTCTGGAGCTAGGCAGGTGTCTGGCCAACCTCTGTCGCCCCCGTGGGCGCCCCCAAAGGCAAGTCCTTCCCAGCCACTGCGTGCCGTGCCGTGGGGTCTGTGCTGAGAGCTTCAGAAGAGGCAGAGCCGTTAAGGTGCCAGCGGAAAACGCGGTCCCCACCCTGGGGGCGGGGCGGTGATGGAAAGGGAGGGCGGACCCTGGGGAGAGACCCCCGGCGAATGCACCAGGCGGTGCACAAGCGGGGCCAGCTCCCCCAGCGTAGAGCAAGCACAGAGTGCCACACGCCAGTGGCCGCCCGCCCCGTCATGGCTCGCACCTGGGAACAAGCTGGAAGGATGGCAGGTGGGCAGCAGGGACTCACCCCGCAGCGAGAGGGGTCACCGTGTGTGTGGCGGGCACCGCGGCAGGGTGTGTGCTAGACAGAGGTCGGAACAGGCTAGATCCACGGCAGGGGCTGGTTCTAGCGACTCTGGTGCGCCCGCATGGAAGGACACCACGCAGCTGGCGAAACCAACAGGGCGGCTCCTCTGTGCCGGGCGGGAGAGAGTCCCAAGGTTCACCACGTGGAAACCAAACCCAGCTAAGCACAGTGTGGAACGGCGTGTGGGCAGTGCGAGTGTTTGTTTGAAACGTACACGCGAGTGTGTGTACAGATGGGCCCTGACTTTTTGGCGAGGGATTTTTCGGCCTTATGGTGACGTGAAGATGAGACGAGTTCGGTAGGAACGGGACTTGGAGAACCCATGCAGCCATGCTGGTCTTCACGTCCAGTTCAGTATTCCAGGAATGACGTGAGATCCTCAGCACTGTGCTATGAAATAGGCTCCGTGTTAGATGATTTTGCCCGGCCACAGGCTAACGTCAGTGTTCGGAGCACACTGAAGGTAGTCTAGGCTATGATGTCTGGAAGGTTAGGTGTATTAAACGCATTTTTGACTCCCGGTATTTTCCGCCTACAATGGCTTTTTCAGGAGCTAACCCCGTCGTGAGTCAAGGGGCCTCTGTATGTGTGCATGAGTGTATGCGTATGTGTGTATGTGTGTACAGGTGTGTGTGTGTGCTTGACATGCGGAGCATACCTGTGATGTTTGACTTCTGGCCTCTAGAACTGTGAGAGAATAAATTTCTGTTGTTTTAAGCCACCTCGTTTGTGGTGCCTTGTCGCAGCAACCCTGGGAAATTAGTTCACTGACCTACAACACAGCCGCTGAGCACATCTGTCGGGTGTTGGAAGGAAGCCCGTGGGAAGGAGAGCTTGGGGACAGGGATGGGGTGGGGACAGGGGAAGAAGGACACCTCGCCCGTGGAGACTTGGCGGAAAGGGCCACCTTCATGGATGTGAAGGGTGCAGAAGTGAGGGTGACAGTGCCTGGTGGCCTTGTTTTGTCCATGAAGTGAAAGCAAGGTGGTCCATGCAGAAGACTGTAACAGAGGGAGGTTCAGATGGTCGCCCAGGGGAATGGGAAGGCCAGGCCCCCTTGGGACCTGGTGCAGGGCTCAGGTTTTGGGTCTGGGTGATGCAGGATTACAGGGATGAAAGGCGTTTGGGAAGTGACTAATCTCAAGTGCCAACCCTGGGGGATTCATTTTGCTATCACGACCCACACAGGGTCCTGGAAGTATCTGACCCATCCCAGCACAACCGTAAAGGGCCTTTTTTCTGATCCAGGGCAGAGCTGTGACGTACACAGCGGGGCCAGTGACTGTGGCAAGGGGCGTGCAGGAGCGGGCATGATGGCACAGGAGCTGCCTGTCCTCACCTCGCATGTGGAGCACCCACGCAGGACGATGCATTAGAAATCACCCACCCAACCTCCGAGGTTTACCAAGAAGGAAACTGACCCCGGGGAGGCGACATGCTCGAGGTCGCACAGCGGGTGGGTGACCCAGCCAAGCATGGGGCTCTGGTCTCCTGCATCCCAGCCCGGCTCTCTCCTCTATGATGATGCCCCCAGAGTGGAGCCAGGAGGTCGGATCCCCCTGAGAGGAAGTTATTTCCCTGCCCACTGTCTTTCGTTCTGAGTACTTTAAGAAGAAGGTCTCAGTTTAGGATCATTAAGTATTTTTTTTTTCTGGACTGTGAAAGGCAGCATTTTTTCTTTTTTTTGAGACAGAGTCTCACTCTGTTGCTCAGGCTAGAGTGAGTGCCGTGGCGTCAGCCTAGCTCACAGCAACCTCAAACTCCTGGTCTCAGGCATTCCTGCTGCCTCAGCCTCCCGAGTAGCTGGGACTACAGGCGTGCGCCACCATGCCCGGCTAATTTTTTCTCTATATATTAGTTGGCCAATTAATTTCTTTCTATTTATAGTAGAGACGGGGTCTCGCTTTTGCTCAGGCTGGTTTTAAACTCCTGACCTCGAGCAATCCGCCCGCCTCGGCCTCCCAGAGTGCTAGGATGACAGGCGTGAGCCACCGCGCCTGGCCAAAGGCAGCATTTTTGAAAAGGATGAATCACACATCTCTCGTTGTATTTTTTAAATTTAATTAAATTTATTTATTGTTAGAAACAGGGTCTCACTATATTGCCCAGGCCAGACTCAAACTCCTGGGCTCAAGTGATCCTCCTGCCCCAGCCTCTCAAGTAGCTGGGATTACATGCTGCACTATCACAGCCCAGCTAAGTTTTCTATTTGTAGTACAGACAGGGTCCCACTCTTGCTCAGGCTGGTCTTGAACTTCTGAGCTCAAGCGATCCTCCTGCCTCGGCCTCCTAGGGTGCTAGGACTATAGGCGTCAGCCACTGCGCCCGGCCCTCGTTTCTTTTTTAGTGCTGGATAATATCCCACTGTCTGGATTCACCACGGTTTATTTATCTGTTCACCTACCGAGGACATCTTGGTTGCTTCCACGTTTTGGCAACACAGCTGCTGTAAACGTGCACGTGCAGGTTTGTGTGTGGACGGAAGTTTTCAGCTCATTTGTACAAACAGCAAGGGGCAGACCGCCAGACCAGTGATGGAAGGAAGATCGAGTCTCAAGCTCAAAACTCTTCAGCAGGAATTTAATGTTTTGTTTCCATTGTTTTAATTTTCATTATTACCTTCTATGTAGGACTGGTGAGCTTGGTTTCCATGTATGGGAGTCTGGTAAACTTCGTTGTCTATAAAATAAAATAGATCGCTCTGAGCACATGTGGGTGCTTAAATATATTTGACTTTTTTAAAAGGAAAACTCGAGTTAATAAGGAATTGGGGAGCCTCACACTGCAGCCTTCTGTCCGCTTTCCTCTGTCCTGAAGGGATCCCCAGGAGGTCAAGCGGACAGCCACACACCTGTCCTGGCACCCGGATGGCAACAGGAAGCTGGCCGTGGCGCACTCGTGCTTGGAATTTCAGCGCGCCCCCATGGGCATGAGCTACGACTCGTACATCTGGGACCTGGGTGAGGAGCAGCGGGGGCCCGGGGGCCAGGGAGGGCAGGGGGCAGGGCTGGGGCCCGGGGGCCAGGGAGGGCAGAGGGGCAGGGCTGGGGCCCGGGGGCCAGGGAGGGCAGAGGGGCAGGGCTGGGGCCCGGTGGCCAGGGAGGGCAGAGGGGCAGGGCTGGGGCCCGGGGGCCAGGGAGGGCAGGGGGCAGGGCTGGGGCCAGCAAGCCAAGGGTGGAGAGGACGAGCAGGAGGTCAAGACAGGTACTCGGGTCCCCATGGGGAGAGGCTGGAAGCCACTGTTTGGTCACTTCCCCATCTGGGCTCAGGCACAGCCGAGCGGAGCCAGATGATAAGCAGGAAAGTCCCTCCAGTTCCAGATCCTTAATCTGGGGCATGGAGGCCAGACCCCATGGGACCCCAATTCTCAGCCCTTAAGGAGCATAGACGTGCCCAGCGGGCTGGGAAGGAACCCAAGGGGCAGGGCGCGGGCACTCATGCCTCCGTCTCACCTTTTCTGACACTGGCCCTTAATTCATGGACTGCAGAGCTCCACCTGGGAGCACAGACCATTGTCTCCAGGAGGGCTGGCTCGAAGGGCAGGAGGGAGCAGCCCTAGGGAGCAGCCGGTGGTGGGCACCACGCTTCCAGGCTTCCCTCCTTACCACAGACAAACGTGTAGGTGCCACGCATGAAGCCAGCACCGGACACACTCGAGCAGCTCAATGCACCTCACTGCAGCCCCGGGGGTGACTCTGTCCCTGTGTCCAGTGCGCACACGGCTCAGAGAAGTTGGTGGGGAGCTGAGTTTATGTAAAAACCTTCGTGTCAAAACCTTGTTTCACACCAAACCTGGAGAATGGACTAGGAAAATAATTAAACACACACACACACCCCAATCCTGAGCCAAAAATAAAACCATCAGATTCTGCCAAGGGGACCAGAGGGCGCAGCCTGGAAGACGGACAGACAGGAGGGGCTTCCAGGCCTCCCCCCGCCACTCCCTGCCCCCCCCCCACACACACACAAGGAAAAGGGGTTAATCTGGTTGACCCTGTTCTTTGCCTTCCAGGCCTCGTGGGATGATTTGTTTTTTTCTGCTTTATAGAGAACCCCAACAAGCCTGAACTCGCTCTGAAGCCGTCTTCTCCGCTGGTCACCTTGGAGTACAACCCCAAAGACTCACACGTGCTCCTGGGGGGCTGCTACAACGGGCAGATAGGTGAGCAGGGACCTGACGCTTGGCCCGAGTCTGTCCTGCCGCCGCCAGGCCAGCGCCCACGTGCCAGCCCGGGCCTGGCCATGCAAGACCAGGTGGGGTGGGGCCTCCCGCAGCGGGGACACCCCCCTCCGGACGCCACTGAGGCTGGTTTCGCTGACACCTCAGCAGTGCCTCCTGTCCTAACAGTTCGAGTACGTCTAAAGTAGGTCAAAATAAAAAGTTAGAAAGACGGCAGCAACTATTGCTCTAGTCAAGTCAAGGAACGTTTGACTAGGGGCCAGCTGTAGAAGTGGGGTGAGGCCACCAGGGACCCCACCTTGGGAGAGGCAGTCAGAGAAGCCTACGACAGGATGATGGGTGTAGACAATCCTGGCCTTATACAATGAGCTGGGAAGTGTTGTCCCCTCCTCTTCTGTGTTTTGGAAGAGTTCGCGAAGAATTGGTATGAATTCTTTAAAACCCTTTGCACTCGCTTGCTTTTTTTCTCATTATCCACTCGACATTATCCACACTTGACATCCGAGTGCAAAGGGTTAAATGTTTGGTAGAATTCACCAGTGAAACCGTCGGGTCCTGGGCTTTTCTTTATTGGAAGTTTTTTTTTTTTTTTTTTTTGAGACAGAGTCTCGCTTTGTTGCCCAGGCTAGAGTGAGTGCCGTGGCGTCAGCCTCGCTCACAGCAACCTCAAACTCCTGGGCTCAAGTGATCCTCCTGCCTCAGCCTCCCGAGTAGCTGGGACTACAGGCATGCGCCACCATGCCCGGCTAATTTTTTTCTATATATATTAGTTGGCCAATTAATTTCTTTGTATTTATAGTAGAGACGGGGTCTCACTCTTGCTCAGGCTGGTTTCGAACCCCTGACCTTGAGCAATCCGCCCGCCTCGGCCTCCCAGAGCGCTAGGATTACAAGCATGAGCCACCGCGCCCGGCCTTTATTGGAAGTTTTTAAATCACTAATCCAATCCCTCAACTTGCTGTAGGTCTCTTCACATTGTCTATTTCTTCTTGAACTGGTTTTGGTAGTTTCTGTCTCTCTAGGAACTTTTCCATCTCATCTGTGATAGATCATCTAATCCGTGGACATGTAATTCTTCATAGTGTAATATTCCCCTGTAATCATTTTCACTTCTTCAAGGTTGGTAGTTAACATTCCCTATCTCATTCTTGGTTCTAGTAATTTAAATCTTCCCTTTGTTTTACTTGGTAAGTCTAACTAGATGTTTTGTCAATTTTCTTTTCTTTTCAAGGAAACAATCTTTGGCTTTATTGATTTTTCTCAGGTTTTATTTTTTATTCTCTATTTATTTCCACTCTAATCTTTATAACTTCCTTCCTTCTGTTTGCATTGGATTTAATTTGTTCTTCTTTTTCTTTTTCTTTGTGGAGGGCAGACAAGGTCTTGCTCTATCTGGAGCAAGGCTGGAGTGCAGTGGCCTAATCATAGCTCACTGTGTAACCTCGAATTCCTGGGCTCAAATGATCCTCCCACCTCAGCCTCCTGAGTAGCTGAGACTACAAGCACGTGCTACCACATCTGGCTAATTTTTAAAATTTTTCTTAGAGACAAGGTCTCACTATGTTGCCAGTCTTGAACTCTTGGCCTCAAATGATCCTCCCACCTTGGCCTCCCAAAGTGCTAGGATTACAGGTGTGAGCCACTGTGCCCAGCCTTCTAATTTCTTAAGGTGGAAAGTTAGGTTATTGATTTGAAATGTTTACAAATACAGGCATTTATAGTCGTAAATTTCCCTCTAAGCACTGCTTTAGCTACATTCCATATATGTTGGTATGTTATATTTTAATGTTCATTCATTTCAAAGTATTTTTTAATTTCCCCTTTTGATTTCTTCTTTGACTCATTGGTATTTAGGAGTGTGGTGTTTGATTTCCACATATTTGTGACGTTTGCAGTTTTCCTTTAGTTATTGATTCCTCATTTCATTTCATTTTGGCCAGAAAAGATACTTGGCATGACTTCAATCTTTTTAATGCAGTGAGACTTGTTTTATGGTCTGCCATATTGCCTACCCTAAAGAATGTTGCGTGTGCGCTTGGTAAACCTGTATTCTGCTTGTTGTCAGGTGGCGTGTTCTACAGATGTCTGTGACGCCCTGTTTATAGTGTCGGTCAAGTCTTCTATTTTCTCGTTTATCTTCTACCTAATAGTTATATCTATTATTGAAAGTAGGGTGTTGGAGTCTGCAGCTATTATTGTTGAATTGTCTATTTCTCCCTCAATTCTGTCAAGTTTTGCTTCCTGTGTGTTAAGACTCTATCTTTAGATGCATATGCATGTTTATCATTGTTTGTTTTCCTAATGAATGAACCCTTTTATAAATGTATAATATCTTTCTTTGTTTCTAATAACATTTTTGTTGGTCTCTAACTCTGTCTTCTCTGATGTAGGCACTCAGTTCTCTTTGGTTACTGTTTGCACGATATGTTTTCCATCCTTTATGCTTTCAACTTATTTGTGTCTTTGAATCCAAAATGTGTCTCTTGTAGATTACATATAGTTGGCAGACAGTGGATCATGTTTTTTTCTTTTTTCTTTTTCTTTTAATCTATTCTGTCAACCTCTGCCTTTTAATTGGAGAGTTTAATCCATTTACATTTTCTTATTGCTATTACGGAGGAGAGAATTTCCAGAAGTCTTTACTCTGCCGTTTTGCTCACGGCATACCTGGAAAACTGACTTTTTGAATTTCTAGTGAGATCAGAAGTAACCTGCCCACATCATCGGTGCTGAACTTTCCCACCTGCCCTCTACCCCTGACCCTGAAGTAGCCAGACAGCCGACCCCTCGCCGACACCCCGGGCCTGTCTTGGTCCTGGGCATTGAAAGGGCTCCCCACCCCTCCAGCTCTGCACACTCTTTTACTTCCCTCCTTCCCTGGGAGGAGGAGCCAGGGTGGCTGGGAAACTTCTCCTTGGAAACCCTCTGTAGCCAGCTGCCTCCTGGCCTTCTGGGACCCCCGATCCCCACCCCCAGCCCCGCTGCTCCCTCCCCGGGGAGCTTTCAGATTATGGAACTGACACGGGCTCCCATAATTCTCCCTGCCAAATTATCCGGGTGCCAGAGATCTAAAAGACTGAAGCGGAGCCACTTTGCCATGATTTATTCAGGAGCCTTGCCTCACTCATTATTCATAAGCTCTTTCAGTGGTTTTTCATGCCAGCTCAGACCGGCCCAGGCTCGGGGCTCTGCTGCTGTGACAGGGGCCCCTGTGGGGGCCGCCTAGGGGACCCCATGGGACCCACCCTCGAGCATTCTATGCTCAAGCAGAGCGAGCTTAGCTAAGAAAACGCTTCTCTGGGCCTGGCCAGTTCAGGTGCAAATGCCTTGGACTTGGGGAAATGTTAAGTCAAAACGTATGGACTGAGTACTTTTGTTATTTTGCAAAACCAGCTTTCCTAGACACATCTGTAAGAGGGTGGGTCCCCAATGCACACTCATGGGAAAATGACAACAAAACCCATCAGGACAGAAGTAGATAAGCATCCCATTGGCAAAGCACTAATCACGCATCACAGGAAAGGCTGAAGCCCCTCTGGGAGTTTCCTTCCAACACGAGGGCGAAAGGGAAGAAGTTCATGCGTCTCGAGAGCTTTGCCTAAATCTTCTCCCCTTCCTTCCACCCTTCCCGTGTGCTGTTTCCTGGGATGGAGACTCCCCCCGCAACCCCCGACCCCCGTGCCTGGCTCGGTCCATCCTCAGTCTCAGCTGCCTGTCACTTCCCGACCCCTCTCCCTGACCACCCTCAGGTGTGTGCCCGCCACCATAGCACCCATAGCACGGGCCATGCTTCTGGGGTCCCCTTCCTGCTTCCCAGGGACCACACCTGTCCTACCCCCAGAAGCTTCCCCAGGGCCTAGTGAGGCGTCAGGACAAGGTAAGGTCTCAAAGGAGTCATGCAGCTTGCCCTCTGGGGGTCCCTCCAGAGATTTTGTGGGGGCTGGTAGGACACTGAGGCTGGTTTGAACCTGGCCCTGCTTCTAAAAATCCACAGACCTGCCAAACTAAGAGAAGCATCCTCCCTCTGTCCCCTGCTCCCTGGCCCTGGGAAGGAGGCCTGTGCTCCCTTTCACCCCTTCCTGCCATCCTTCCGCACCAGCCTGCTGGGACACTCGGAAGGGCAGCCTGGTGGCGGAGCTGTCCACCATCGAGTTCAGCCACCGAGACCCCGTGTACGGCTCCATCTGGCTGCAGTCGAAGACGGGCACCGAGTGCTTCTCGGCGTCCACGGACGGGCAGGTACCAGCCGGGCAGGCACGGGGGGGTGGGGGGGAGGGGAGGAGGTGACAGGGGGAGGGGGTGATGGGGGGAGTAAAAGTCCTGGTTCCCCATCGGAATCACCCGGGAACATTTCCTTTTATGTTTGGTTTTGAACTTGAATAGTGGGTAATACATGCACATGGAACAGAACCCCAAAAGTGCCAAAGGGCAGGTAGTGAAATGCCCTCCTCCCACCCGTGCCTGCAGCCTCCTGCCCTCCCGCAAACGTCAGCCGCCTGGGTCTGCTTCAGAGACAGTCTCTGCACAGTCAGGCAGACACGGACCTCTCTTCTTTGCTCTTTCTTTTTGCACACCTTACGTGCTGTTCCGCATGTGATATTTTTCCTTTTGCGAATCTCGGAGACAGTTTCTTATGGCATAAAGCACTGTCCCATGCCCGTTAAGGACTGCAGCATGTGGGTGTTCCGTAATTTATCTCAGTGGATCTTAGATATTTTGTTGTTACTCTAGAAAAGGTGGCAAAGAGTGTCTTTGAACATGGATCATTGCACACGTGTGCAGACACATGTTCAATGTACGTTCCCGGCTGTGGGATTGCTGGTTCAAAGCATATGTGCCTTTTTAACGTTGCTAGATATCGCCATGGTGGGGAGAGCCCTGGAGGATACAGATTCTTGGGCCTGCCCCTGGCAATTGTGATTCAGTAGGTCTTGGGTGAGGCCACGGCATCTGGATTTTATGCAGATGTTATGACCAGCGGGGTCTGGAGACTGTGCACGGAGCAGCGATTCCCAAAGTGGGTCTGCTCCCAGGGCTGTCGGGAGCCCCAGTGCTGGGCCAGGGAGGTGGAAGGGGGGAGGAAGGCAAGAGGGAGGGGCATCGCAGGACCTCAAGTTCCCAGCGTGGTCCCCTCCTCCCGCCAGGTCATGTGGTGGGACATCCGGAAGATCAGCGAGCCCACTGAGGTGGTGATCATGGACATCACCAGAAAGGAGCAGCTGGAAAATGCCCTGGGGGCCATCTCCCTGGAGTTCGAGTCCACTTTGGTGAGCGTCTCTTGCCAGGGCTCAGGATCAGATGGGGACCCCCGGCGCCAACCTCACTGCGGCCATCCCGGACCTGCGTGGTCTTTACAGCAGCCTTCCAGCAGGGGGCAGCAGAGTTTGCATTGTCACACCCAGGCGCCGTTTGGCTGGTGGTGGCTGGGCTGAACCAGAGGGCAGTTGTTTGCAACAAGACAGGATTCCAGAACAGCCCTGTTTCCTGGGAGGTCTGGTCTCCAGCCCTGGCTCTGCCCCTGCCTCGAGTGGGCTTTTACTCGGAGCCAGGTGGCAGCTGTGCAGGATTCGGAGCAGAGGAGACGGCGACTGATTTACGTCGCAGAAAGATGAGCGTATTCGTTTTCTATTGCTGTGTACCAAACTCCCACAAATTTAGGGGCTTAAAGCAACCCAGATTCATTATGTCCACAGTTTCTGTGGGTCAGGAGTCCGGACATACCTTGGCTGGGTCCTCTGCTCAGGGTCTCACGGGCTGGTTGGGCTGTGTCTTCATCTAGAACCTGGACTTGGGAAGAATCTGCCTCCAAACGCCCTCCAGCTGCCAGAGTTCAGCTCCTGGCAGTTGTGGGACCGCGGTCCCCTGTTTTCTTGCCGACCGTCAGCCCTTGCCCTAGAGATCGCTCATGCCTAAGTCCCGGCCCTGTCTCAGGCCCCCGCAGCATGGCAAGCCAGGGAGAGGCTCCACTCTGGTTTGCCGAGGCGGAGCCGCGTGTAACATAATGTCATCAGGAGTGACACCGTCCCTTTGCTGCATTCTGGCGGGTAGGAGCAAAGGACAGGTTATGCCCACACCTGAGGGAGGGGGCTGCACAAGGGCGGGATTCACTGGGGTCATTTTAGGCTGTGGCCGCTGGACAGAGGAGACGGTCCTGGGGACAAGGGTGGACCAAGGAGACAAGTCAGGAGGCAACGACCTGGGCCCAAGATGAAGGAGGCTCAGGCCGCGGTGGTCGCCGGGACGGGGGAGGGTGGAGAATGGTTGGATTCTGGGGACAAGCTGAAGGGCATCCTGCACCGTTTGGTCCAGAGGCACTTCTGGGAGACAGCCGACACACCCTTGGTTGAATGCCAATTCCAGTTTCTCCACCCTCCTGCCCTGCTGAGGACAGGTCTCAGGGCAGGACTTCCAGGGCCCTCCAGGGCCCCCTGGGTGGGGTGGGGGGCGAAGGTGTCTGTCGAGGTTCCCTAGTCTCTGGAGCCAGCCAGGGCTTAGCGAGCTGAGCATCTTTCCTTCTTCCTGAAGAGGCTGGTGGCCTTTGCCTTGCTCACAGGGACAGCAGGAGGACTGTGGGACAAGGGACCCTGGAGGGGCAGTTTGTTCCACTTCTTGAGGCTCAGCCAGAAAGCCAGTGGTGAGCCTGCAGGTGGCCCGTGCCCAGCCCCCAGAGCCTGTGCGACACCCAGTGAGCTTGGGACCCCGCTGTGCCCTCTCCCTCCAGCTGCCTCTGTGGGGCAGCCACCCCTCGGCCACGTCCCACGCTACACCGGGGGGGTCTGGGGGGCGGAAACCTGCCCATCGATGCTGCACACGCTGCCCAGAACCCACAGGGACAACTACTTCTGATGTTTCCTGCTAAAGGCTTCGGCTCAGGCCAGCCCTCCTGCCCGGCTTCCCGTGTCCATCTCCACGGTCTGGCCCCCCGTCACTGCAGCATGGCAGCCACACATGCTCCCAAATCCCCGTCAGGGCCTTTAAGGGGCCCTGTCCACACAACGGCAACAGGGTGCTGGGGACAATAAGCACCGGTCTTCCACGTCCTCCTGAGGAAGTTGGGGCCGCAGCCCCACCCTGGCCCTGGGTGCAGCACAGAGCTGTGCCCTGACCCATCCCAGGTGAGCACCCAGGCCCTGGCCCAGAGAGAGCTGTACCTGTGAGTCCGTCACGTGCACGGACGCCATGAAGACGAGTCATCCATCGGTCTCTTAAAAACAAGGAGGTTGGCCCCAGTTTGGGGAGGAAGAAGATGACGGATCTGGGTATTTTCTAGATTTTATGTTTATATTTTTAGTGATTTTTCTGGTAGAAGGACATTGCACAGTAAAATGATTTTTTTTTTTTAAACTATAAACCTGGGGGCTCTGCAGGGGCAGGCCCCTCACCCACAGGGGACATCTGAGCCCGTTTGCAAAGGCCTTTCCCACCGTGACCCTCCCATCATCAGCTTACCCATTCTTTCATTTGGGGCACTGAGGACACAGCGCCATTGTAGGCTCGGGTCCTGCCCCTGGAGGTCGTCTAGTCTGGCCTAGAAGTTAAGACACAGAACAGTAAACGAGGCGAGGCCCTGCATGATGAGGGGGCTGTGATCAGACATGTGGAGGGAGCACAGGATCAGGAGAAGGGGGACTGGCCTTTGTATATACAATCCACAGTGAAATGAGCTGCTTAGTGGGCACAGAACCAAGTAAGACAAGCTCGGTCCCCTCCGGGAGCTCATCGACTGCCAGGTGGTTTCCTGAGGGCTGGATGGCCACCTGCTCTGAGTCCTCGGGGACATCCAACCTAGACGATGCTATGGCTAATGTTACTGTCATGCCAGGGAAGGCTCTGCCCATCTTCTGAGTGGTCTGGGCCACACTGTGTCCCCCATCTCTGGGCCTCGTTTATTCTCTCTGTAAACAAACATTCAGGATCTTTATGGGAAAATGCTTAGTGAAGACAACAGTGCTCTGTAGAGGGGCCAGTGGTGACCCTTTGGGTACTGACAGAGTCAGGGGGGGCTTCATTAAGCACAGGGTCCTCGAGCAGCTTCCAAAAAGGGTGGGATCTGACAAGGCTGGGAAGAGTGGGGACAGCTCCCCAGGAGGGGTAGGGCACACAGCCTGAGGAGAGACTTAAACTCAGGGACTTTCTAGCACCTGCAGAGGTGCTGAGCAGGCTGCTGGCCATGCCTGCTAAGCCCAGAGCTAATGGTTCATGGAACCTTCCACTCCTGTGTCACTCCCTCCACAGCCAACCAAATTCATGGTGGGCACCGAGCAAGGCATTGTCATCTCCTGCAACCGGAAGGCCAAGACACCAGCTGAGAAGATTGTGTGCACCTTCTCAGGCCACCATGGCCCCATCTATGCCCTCCAGAGAAACCCCTTCTACCCAAAGAACTTCCTGACTGTCGGTGACTGGACAGCCCGCATCTGGTCTGAAGACAGCCGGGAGTCGTCCATCATGTGGACCAAGTAAGTGGGGGGAGTGGGAACCGGAGGGGAGGGAATAGGACAGAGGGGCCCAGCTGAGCCCAGGAGTGCCCTGAGCTTCCATATGTCCATCCGTAAAATGGAGAAAAGACCCCTCCACAAACACCCGGGGCCGTGTTAGCAAGTGACTTGATTTAGCCACTTCACAAAGGAATAGGATTCGAATGGCTTGGGTTACTAATCATAAAACAGCCATGGCTTAGTTTTCGTAATCCTCAAAACACACCCGTAGCAGTAGGCAGCATCGCTCTCCTCCTCATCTCAGTTTTCCTGTTAGGGAACTGGGTTAAGGGGACACAAAGCCACCTTCTCCTGGCCTCCAGCTGGACCCAGGAAGTTTGGCTGGGGGATCTGCCTCAGCAGGATTCAGCAGTGCCTGCGTGGCCTGTCCAGCCTGGGCCCCCCTCCTCTGAGGGGAGGAGCAGACAGGGAGCTTGAGACAGAGCTGTGAGTGCAATGGTTAGACCAGAGCAGAGACCAGGTCGGATGCAGTCGTCAATCCCAGCCACCACCAGCAGCTTCTCGGGTGCAGGGGCTGAGACGATTCCAGTGCCCCTGGGGGCAGGGATGAGGCACACCAGCACAGAGCGGCAGGGGCCCTGTCACTTTGCAAGTGTGGAGCTTGCCAAGCTTGGTGTGTGTTTCTTTTTAAAAAATGTTCCGTGTTCACTGAAGAAACTTTTGAAAACCTAGATCAAACCAAGTAGGAAGTATAACACTCTCCTAATCTGAGTTTTATGGACTTTTCTGGGCATGTCCTTCCTCTGGATCCTTCGGGCGAGTCCCAGACTGGGGCCGGATCCAGCTACGTGTGCCTGTTGCCTGGAGTCAGCAGGAGAGGAAAACCGGTGGCCAGCCCCAGGGGGAGGACCATGCCCAGCCCTTTAAAGAGCAGCCTGTGTGGCCGGGCGCGGTGGCTCGCGCCTGTAATCCTAGCACTCTGGGAGGCCGAGGCGGGAGGATCGCTCTCAAGGTCAGGAGTTCGAAACCAGCCTGAGCAAGAGTGAGACCCCCCCGTCTCTACTAAAAATAGAAAGAAATTAATTGGACAACTAAAAATATATAGAAAAAATGAGCCGGGCATGGTGGTGCATGCCTGTAGTCCCATCTACTCGGGAGGCTGAGGCAGAAGGATCGCTTGATCCTGGGAGTCTGAGGTTGCTGTGAGCTAGGCTGACGCCATGGCACTCTAGCCCAGGCAACACAGTGAGACTCTGTCTCAAAAAAAAAAAGAAAAAAGAGCGGCCTGTGAGCTGTGGGTGGGTGAGGTTGGCACGGCTAGAAGTCAGACACAAGGAAGAACTTCCTGTCCAGCAAGACTCAGACCTTGCAGCCCTGAAGGGACTAAGCGAGCAGGGCTGGGGCCCGGCGTCCTCTCTGTCCCTCCCAACCGTAACGGCCACTTTCCTGTGGCACCGGCCCCCACAGGTACCACATGGCCTACCTCACTGACAGCGCCTGGAGCCCCATGAGGCCAGCCGTTTTCTTCACCACCAAGATGGATGGGACCCTGGACATCTGGGACTTCATGCTCAAGCAGTGTGACCCCGCCCTCAGCCTGAAGGTCATGTGCACCCCCTCCCCGTGCACCCAGGCCCTCAATTAGCTGGGCCCTCCCCAGACAGGCCGGGAAGTGGCTGGCAGTGTGGCGCGCCGTGAGCCCGTGTGTTGTGCCACGTGTGGTCGGGCGTGTCTGGGGGTGGGGGCCTCTCTGGGCGCGTGGCATGCTGGCTGGCTGCAACTCTACCTTTGGAAGCATGTGCTCCTCCAAAGGTTAAGGGGCCTGGGGACTTGGAACCCTGGTGGCACAGCAGCAGGGTCACCTGGGGGAAATTAAAAAAGAAACAAAAGCAGGTGCCTAGCCTCTCCTCCCAGGCCTACTCCTTCAGAAACCCTGGAGGCGGGCTCCGCGCAGTGCCCTGTGACGTGAACTCATGCTATCATGTCAGCGGTAGCTGAGCTGGCCCCGCCAGTGGGGACCACAGAGGGCGTGGGGTTTGGGAACCGCAGGATGGCTGCGGGGCTGGGCTGAAGGGGTGTGGGGAGGCGGGGGAGGTGAGGCTGGGAGGCCGGGGGTCTTGACAGCCAATCTCCAAGTTTGAACTTCATCCTGTGGTCAGGGGCGTCACTGAGGGTGTTTGTAAGGGGCCAAGCCGCTCAGCCTCCCCAGGGGCCAGATAGTCAGACAAAGGTGACTTTGTTCCTCTCTTCCCTACCTGGCCCCGACAACAGGTGTGCGATGAGGCCCTCTTCTGCCTCCGGGTGCAGGACAACGGGTGTTTCATCGCCTGTGGCTCCCAGCTGGGGACGGCCACCCTGCTGGAGGTCTCGCAAGGGCTGTCCACCATGCAGAGGAATGAGAGGAACGTAGCTTCTTCCGTAAGCACCGGCAGAGCCCACCCAGCCCAAGTCCTGAGCCCACCCCACGGCAAGGCAGCCTAGTCAGAAAGACGTATATGCGCCCGCTCCCCCACCTTCCGGGAGATGGCTGGACAGTTGGGGGAGGCCCGGAGCGAGCTTGGAAAGTGGGCGTCGGTGCCGTGTGAATTTGCCCTCGCTCAGCCACTATGCAGCTAAGCGGTCTTGAGCAGGTCACTTTACCTCTTCAGGGTTCGATTCCTTTTAGCCGTAAATCAAAGTCAGTTTGTCTAGTTTTGAACGACGTATTTTTTTTTGGCAGCAGAACCTTTCCAATGACGGCTTAGCAGAATGCCAGTAGCTAAGACAGATGCCGGGGGACTGCCCCTGGGGGGAAGGGGACTGAGATGCGTCCCTACACCCTGTCCCCAGCAGGCAGCCCTGGCCTTGAGGCAAGCCCAGAGCCCCGGGCATGCCGTGGAATTGAAAACCCCTCTTTGCCTGAGACTGAGGTCTCACCATCGAGCTGGTCCTTCCCTGGGCCCACGGCCGCCATGTTGCGTAGCTCCAAAGGGCGTCTTTAACCTGTGGTCCGTGTACTGGGTGCTCCCTGGAACTGAGTGCCTTGGCGTCCCCCTCCGCTCCTGACACCAGCCCTGGGTGCAGACCCCTGTGGGGACCGTTTGGAGTCGAGCCAAGAGAGCTCAGTAGAAGGCCCACCCGGCCCCTGCGCTAGAGCCGCCAGCTGCCCCCCACCCCCACCGGCCTCTCTGTCCCCGTGTGCCCAGATGTTTGAGCGTGAGACCCGCCGGGAGAAGATCCTGGAGGCCAGGCACCGCGAGATGCGGCTGAAGGAGAGGGGCAAGGCGGAGGGCAAGGAAGAGGACCAGAAAGAGGACGAGCTGGTCACGGACCTGCCGGCAATGGTGGGCATGGCTGAGCAGGAGTTCTTCGACATCATCTACGGCGAGCTGAGGAAGAAGGAGGCAGCCGCCATGAAGAGGAAGCGCAAGTCGGTAGGGGCCTCGGCCGGGGGCACGCGTGGGCTGGGGGCAGGCGGGAGCCCTGGCACCTGGGTTCTGCCTGCTCACTGCCTCGAGCTAGCAGCCTTACCAGCTGGCCCCTCATTTGTCCATCTGGCAAGTGGGAGGAATTTCTCCCCGCCTCCCCAGGAACCCTAAGTCTCCACATAGACTTCAGGCTCCTTGCGGGCAGGAGCCAGGCTCCCTGCCTCCTGGCACCCTCCCTCCCCCACGGTGGGCGCACCGTGGACATGCATGCTGATGGGCCGAATGGGGGTCCTGGGGGTGCACGAGCTGTCAGAGAGGAACGAGCCTTGGGACCCGCTGAGAGAAGGGCCGTGACATCCGCGGTGTGTACACTGTGCTGGCTTGCCCAGGTCTGGCGTCAGGAGTGTGAGCTGCGGTTAGCTCATTGGCCCGTGGCCTCAGCTCTTAAAGCACTTTCTAGCTGTGTCACCTCTTGGTTCCTGCATTTCCAATATAGAAAATGAGAAGACTGATCTATAAAGATGGTGTCTGGTCACCTTCCAGGCCCCCCTCTGTACCAGGGGACAGAACAAGAAAAACGACATTGCCGTAGGGGGCCACAGATCAGATGCTAAGATGTGAAAGACCCCAAGAACAGTGGGGAGGGGGGAGAACAATGGAGTGTATGTGGTATTTACTGTTCTAAGAAAGACTAGCTACAGAATTGTGGGCGTGCACAACGAAAATGTAGGGTCCCTTGTTTAAAAAATATTAAGAATTTCAAGACAGTGACAGCAGAGCACAGACCCTGTGTCACTGCACAGAGCACTCACTTGTGACGCTGGCTCTGCTCACGGGCAGAGCTGGGTGGCAAGTTCTTGGTCACTGGTGGAGTGGACATGGTGGGTGGGGGTGAGCACACGGGCGGATAACTGGTTCCACCTCGTGACTTCTCCCACTTCTGTCTCCCGTCCCACTGGGTCTGAGGAAAGGGTGTGAGTCCTGCTGGTGTGTTTTGCATTTACAAAGAGTTGGCTATGAACCGCTTTATACTCACACCCTCTGTGTGGCACCAGTGGGGCAGAGCCAGAGGCGAGACTAGAGCTCTGGCTTTCTGTCCCATGGCCCAGGGCTCCTCCCACCCATCGCCCCTGGCACATCCAGCCCTCCAGAAGGCAAAGATGACAATGGCCACCTTTTACAGTGCAAAGTGGCTGGCAGGCATCGCGTCTTGTACCATACGTCCCAAAACACACGCCTGGCAATAGCCTGAGCATTCTAGATGCACTCGAGCCTGAGAAGGGGTCGCTGTTCACAGACCTTGGCCCCTTCTGCCTGCCACACACGTCCTGCTTCTCGTCATCTCCGCAGTAGGCCTGAAATGCCGGTGGTCAGAGATCACCGCCGGGCACTGAAGCTGTCCTATCCACTCTGAGTCCTTACGATCCTAGCCACAGCCCCTGCAGGGTGTCACGTCCTCTTTACGGGGGAGGGCCAAGGAGACTCAGGAGGCACTAGCCCAAGGTCGCCAGGTCTGCAACTGGACCCGTACCCAAGTCTGCTGGATTCCCAAGGCTCTGCCCACCTTCTGCTCCCACTGGCTCTGAGCACCCACCGGGCCCTTGCCAGCTGCGGAGCTGGTGCCACCGGGTCCAGGATGTCGGGCGATCGGGGCTTCAGCCATCGGCTGCTTTTAGCCTCATGTGTTAACACGGGGGGAGGGGGAAGGACTGCCCCCCACCCACACCAGCACTCCTGTGCTGCCTTCTTCCCCAGGAAGACCAGGAATTTGTGGACGAAGACCAGGAGATGGAGGGGGATGAGGACACGCTGGAGCAGGAAGAGGCTGAAGAGACTGAAGAGGAGACGTAGGCCCAGCAGGTCGGCCCCCGGCTGCGGCGCTGCCCTGCACGTACCACCCGCCCCGCCTCTCGGTCTTGTCCCGGCCCTGCCCGTGGGGAGCTGAGCTTGCACAGCCTCGGCGGGGCCTGGGGGGGACCTGTGGGGGGGGGAGGGTTTCTCCTTGTCCCTTACCGACCTTTCTCATCCACCTACAAATGGAGAACAGAGAGCCTGTCGCTTCTAAGCCACCTTTCCAAGCAGGTCCCCGGGTGTCTGCACACACAGCCACGACGGAGGCCCCCGGGTGTGGGGGGATTGACGGCACGAGCTTAGTTGTTCTCATGCACATTGGCGCTTTCTGTTATCTTCATTCCCGTAAAATTAAACAAGTAACAACAACGCCAGCAGTTAGCATGTGTTACACATCCTGCGCTAAGAGCCTCCCGCGTTGTCACGTGTGATTCTTTCACGGGGACCCAGGAAGGTTTGCGCTCTGATGACCCTAATACTACGGGGGAGGAAACGGGGGTTCCGGGAGAGGTGCAGGGACTTACCCGAGTGACAGAGCCAGGATGGGAGCCCGGGCTGCTCATTCCTGACCCTGCACGGCCGGCAACTGTGGGCCACCTGCTGTGCAGGGCCGTGGAGGGGGGGCTCCAAGGTGGGCAGCGGGCTGCCCCAGGGAGCTGAAACCACAGCTCCACAGAGCAGTCGGCCACCGTCCGTTGCGGAGATGTCAGTCGGGTGAGAGGGCGGCTGGGAGCAGCCTTGCGCGCGGAAGTCCCCTGGCCTGGCCACCATTCGTCCTGCGATGCCAGCTGTGCGTGGCAGGGGTCAGAGTGCCCTTTGAAAATGCCTGTGTTGAGAATCTTGTTGAGGAAGGACCCAAAGCCAGCTGCCCCTCATGCCCAAAAGAAAAAAAAAGCCACTGAGTTGCTGAAGGCAGCTAGACTTTGCTAAAAACGATAATCTCGGGCTATGTGTCCTGAGTGCTTGATCCTCACAGGCACCCGGGAGGGATCACGCCATCCCCAATCCCCGCCTGGCGGCCGTAGCAGGTGACACACAGAGAGGGAGCAGCTAGCTGAGACTCCAGCCCAGGGTGCCCGCCCTAGAGCTAACGCCACACACACTGCACCCCCAGCCACCCCCCGTAGGAGGAGTGGGCTGTGCCGGGTGGACACCCCCTGCCCGGCTCTGCCGTCCAGGTGGCAGGCAGAGGGTGCCAGGAGGGAGCGGCCCCCCTTGCAAAGGGGAGCAGAGCAAAACCACAGCGCATCATCAGAGAGCCGGAGGCTGCTGGGAAACCCTCCCCGTGGAGTGTGGACAGGGTGGGGGCCACACAAGAATGGAGCTGGGAAGTGGAGAAGCCATGCCTGGACTCCAGTGTCCAGAGCACAGTGATGTCCCCCTGATCGTGCCTCCTGGGTCTGAGCCTTCTTTGGGCTGTTCCATCATCTGACTTGATTAATAAACATGGCCCTAAACTGATAACATTTCAGCTGCCACTACAACAGCCCAGCGGGCTCCTGGGAGAATCACTGTCCCTGTTCTCTTTCATGTGGCTGCAGGAGGTAAGGGTGACTATTCATGACTTCAGGGTCACCTCAGCACCCAGAGACCCCAGGGCAGGCACCACTATGTGCTGGGGGCTGTGGCCAGCCTGGGGGTGGTAACAGGGACCGTGGCTAGAAGCTGCTTTGTATGGGGCGTGCAGCCAGGGCAAGTCTGAACCCAGCCGGGCCACGTGCCACAGCTAGTGGGAAACACGGAAAGCTAACATTCCCCGATGCATGTAGAACGAAAGCTGTGCAAAGTGACATTTTAGTGAAGAGTACAGAGCACTACGAGAGGGACAATAGGAGGAACTAACCTAGTCTCTAGAGAGAAAGGAGCTGTAGAGAGGCCTCCTTGAGGAAGTGGCAATGAAGCCGAGATCCTAAGAAAGAGCATGAGGCAGCTGGGTGGTTTGTGCACGTGTGCACGTGTGTACACATGTGACTATGTGGTGTCTGCATGGAGGGGCACCCCAGGCAGGGGAGCAGCATGCACACAATACCCCAAGGACAGAAGAAGCTAGTGCCACTCTGTGTGAGCAACAGCGAGACATCAGTGTGGCCGAAGTGCAGTGAGTTCCAGCTAGCACAGGGGACCCAGTCTGGAGAACACGCAGGGGTCAGGTGGGGCCAGCCTGGAGTCAAGGACTTTGACCTCTTTCAGAAGATCACTGGGAAGCAGGGGAGTGCCTTGATGGAGCGTCTGCTGCAGAGGAAGGCTCAGGGGAGGCGCCTGGGGGCCAGCTGGGAGGACGCTGAGGTGTCAGGCAAGAGAAGACGGGCAGCTTGGGCTGGGCAACGGCTCCAGAATCTTGCCTCTCTGCTCCTCTGCCCCTAACTCCAGGGATTATCTGAGCAAGTAAATGAAATAGCAGGTGTCAGCCGTTGGGCTCAAAGTAAATGCTTGATAAACATCTCTCACCTGCCTCACTTAGAAGCATCTGATAGCCACCCTGACAGCTTTCATTACTAGGACCACGTTATAGGTCAGAACAAGGAGCCACTAGAATGACTTGTGAATCAGTTTCTCAGGGTTCCTTCAGCATCTGAACCCCCAACCTGGAAGGGGCTGCTTAGGAGACAAATCCTCGATCCGCGTGCTTTGCTTTTGCAATAATTCCCTTCCGTTTCCCCTGCAAGCTCTCGCACAGGGAGCCCAGCCTGGGAGGAGCCATGCCTAGCCCGCAAGCAGATGGGACCTTGCCCCCTTGGGCGCTGGGGGTGGGGTGGGGGTAAAGGACTTTAGAAAGTACTCAGGGCTCATCAAAGCCGGGGCCTTCCAACTGCAGGCGGGTTAGGGGGGAGGTGGGGAATGTCACGCATCTCTGATTGACAGTATCGTTGCCACATGGGTCATCGTGGCCGCTGATGCCATCCACACTGGGTGTGGTAGCACCTTCTATTAGGTCTTTTTTTTTTTTTTTCTTTTGAGACAGAGTTTCACTTTGTTGCCCAGGCTAGAGTAAGTGCCAGGACGTCAGCCTAGCTCACAGCAACCTCAAACTCCTGGGCTCAAGCAATCCTCCTGCCTCAGCCTCCCGAGTAGCTGGGACTACAGGCATGCACCACCATGCCTGGCTAATTTTTTCCTCTATATATTTTTACTTGGCCAACTAATTTCTTTCTATTTTTAGTAGAGGCGGGGTCTTGCTCAGGGTGGTTTCGAACTCCTGACCTTGAGCAATCCTCCCACCTCAGCCTCCCAGAGTGCTAGGATTACAGGCGTGAGCCACCGCGCCCGGCCCCTATTAGGTCTTCTTACTAGGCAGGGGAGGTTTTGCCCACTGGAGGGCCCACTGCAGGTAAACGGATGAAGATTTCAATGAGCTCAGATAAGCCTGAGCCCAGGTAGGTTTTTAGTGACTTTTGGTATGTGAGGTTTGACCACCACCAGCAGCCCCTCAAGCTCCCTGAGCCCCAGGACCTCGTGAAGAAGAAGCAATGACTCGAAGGTACGGCTACGCAGGGGATGGAGGTTTCATTGACAAAAACACAAAAGTCAAGCAGGGGAAACGGCTAGAGACTACAGATGACTTTGAGACGAGTCTCCGTGCCAAGTGGGTGGGGACCTCTTGCTTAGGAGCAGCTGCCCAGCTGACCGGGGGCCTGCTTGGCTGATCTAGATAGATTCTATTCAAGGCTCTGGAACGCAAGCCCAACACATCCTCAAAAGTAGGTGATGCCCATCTGCAAACCAGCCACCTGAGGGGCAGCTGGACGGGACAAAACCGGGGCCCCCTGCAGGAGGGTGCGCTTTCCTGCACCAAGCTGCACGGCGTTTATCTATTTATCTCGCCCAGGGCGGGGCTGCGTCTTGCTGTGTTTATTAATAACTATTCCCAACACAAGCTCCTCGTGGCGGCTGGGGAAGCCAGTCCCAGGGCACAGGCTGGCAACGTGCTCTGCGGCTGGAGCTGCGCCAGGCAGTCTGGGGCAGCCTCGGGGACCTGAGCTCTTCCTTCCCCAGCTCCTTCCGCGGGAGGTGAACCCCACTGTGGCACCCCCTCCCGGTCTTTGCAGGGGCTGCGGGCTCAGCTTCGGTGGGCGCAGAGACGCGAAGGATGCACCCTCAGAATATCGGAGGACCTCCGACACCGCCCAGGAAACCGAGGCCCAGAGGGAGGCAGGAAAGGCCCGCTCCAGGTGGCTGGGCAAGTTGGAGGCAGAGCTGAGACCAGAATCCTGTTTCCCTGGGGCCTCCTGAGGACGGGACTCTTTCCCCGTGCTCCCTGAGTGTGTACCGTTGTTACCGTCACCAAGAATGGAAACTGCTGCGTCTGACCGAGACTTTCTTGCACAGTAGGTGGCTCTTCCAGCGGGCAGAGAGCCAGAGGGGTGCAGGGACCCAGCCGGCTCCCCTAGACTCTGGGTTTGGGGATAGAGCCTTGTTTGCTAGTGGGGTACACTGAGGCAGGCCGGTCTGTAGCATGCCCCAGGTAATATAGGTGCTCCCCCATCACCACGCAGGTGGGCTGCCTGGGCAAAGGGCCGACCCTTTACCCACCCTGCCGCTGAACAGTGGGTGCAGACACCCAAACCGGAGGCCCCAGCGAAGCACGCAGCGCCCGTGGAACTATGAGGCTGCCAGCCGCCGCCCTGGAGGCGCCGAGAGACAGGCGGCAGGTGGGCGGCAGGTGCGCGTGGCCCGAGGGCCAGCGAGCCGCGTGGCCGCCGGGCGCGCCCTATCGGGCAGTGGGGCGGGGCCCGAGCCGCGAGCCGGGCCGGGGGCGCGGGCAGGTGCCCAGGAGCCACCAAACGGACGCACCGAGGGCCGAGGGACGCACAGGCGGCACAGGGCAGCGGCGCAGGCTCGGGCGCCTCCCCGGCGGAGGCGGCCAACACTCGCGGGGCGGGGCGGGGCGCGGGGGCGGGGCGAAGGGGGCGGGGCGGCCCGTCCGTGCCCTCCCTGGGCCCCGCCTCCCGGTCAGCGCCCTTGGCCGCGGGCGCGTTGTTGGTTTCGGGTTGTCAGGCAGCAGCAGCGCAGGCGAGGCTGCGACAAGTGACCGGACGAGACCCGGCGGCCGTGGGGTTGCGGCTCGGCCATGCCCGGCGTCGTGGCCTGAGCCCCTCCACCTGCCGCAAGCATGAAGGACAGCGGGGACTCCAAGGACCAGCAACTCATGGTGAGACCCCTTCAACCTCCTCCTGGCCTCCTCGGTGGGCCAGGAGTACCTCAGTCAGCCTCCAACAGGCAGAGCAGTCCTGTCCCCTCACCCCACCCCGCAGACAGGACATGCAAGGGTCGGGGCTGGGACCCCCCAGAGCAACTTTCCCCAAGTCCTGGACCAAGGGGGTCAAGGAGGTGTCATGGCATCCTTCTGAGGCCTGAAAAGCTAGCCCAGCTTCAA